GGGGCGGTGCTCTCCAGCCACGGGGTCTGGTGTGGCAGGACTCCAATAAACCACGCCGCCTGCTGCTGATAGCAGAAGGGAGACGGCGCTGCGCGCAGGGAGGGGCTGGGTCATCCCATCTGCACGCCGGAAGGGGGGGCACTCGAGTCTCCCACACTCTTCACGCTCCGGGGCCGGGCGACAGCGGGGGGAAGCTGCCGGCCGGGTAGTACCCGGCGGCGCTGCCCCTGGGCGCCACGCCAAACTGGGTGCCCAAGGAGCGGGAGGTCAGTGCCGGCAGGGGGGTGAACACCTTGTTGCCCGCGGCGTCGTACAGATCCACTCGCACTGGGGCGCTGAGGTCCAGCGCCTCGCCGTAGTGGGTCAGGTTCCAGCCCGGCGGGTCCACGGCGGAGGTGCGCTCCACGCGCTGCGCGTTGATGAAGGCCTGGGCGATGGGCCGGTAGCTGTTCAGGAAGTACAGGACCTGCTCGAACGGCGTGCCGCCTGCAGCGGTTGCGGGGGGGGGCGGGAGGGGAGGAGGGTGGACTACTTTCCTTACTTTGTGTTTATACATGGGGAGTCATAGCACACAGCTCAAAGGGGCAGAGGCAGTGCCCTGCCGGTGGAGAAACGATGCGTGCCATCCGGCCGTTCCTGCAAAGTCGCCGCATGGCGGCCTGGGCCGCCGCTCCTCCCCAGCAACACCCCGACTCACCCGAGGCAACCTCCAGGTAGATGAAGTCACCCTCCAGCTCCTCTGCGGTGCATGAGGGGCGGTTGGGTTTGTGGGCCATGTGCCAGGCAAGGGGCATCCTGGTCGCCTAAAGCCCGCATGATTCCCCGCTCAGCAATGGACACAGGCCAGCAGCCCCAGGGACCAGTGTCTGTGCTCGGCACAGTGCCGGTCCAGGCACCGTGGCCTCTGCTCTCCCCTGCTCTACACAGGCGCACACACCGTTCACGAGCGGGAACTCCGTGTCGGGGCCGAGCGCGCTCTCGAGCCCAGGGGCGATCACCTCCGGGACGATGCCCGCCAGGTCCTCTGTTGGTGAAAGGGGCATCAGGGGGGGGGAGCAGGTGAGTGAGTGCTGCTCGCTCGCGATGAGATCTTCGGGCCGTCATGTCAAAGCAGTAGATGCATCCCCAGCCTGATCCCAGTGCCCCCCTGCTCGCCCTCAGCTCCCGCCTTGTGGCCCCAGCGCCCCTGCCTGACCCCAATTCACACACACACACACACCCACCAGTCTCGGGCGTGTCTGCCTCGACTTCAGGCACCACATCATCAAGGCTGGGTGCTGTGAGGTTGGGGACCTCCGCGACAGGGACAGGAGAGGGGAGGGGGATCACGGGTATGACGGCTGCGCCGGGGGCTGTGGTCTCCGTCGCGGGCTCCAGGGGAGTCTCGCTCTCCGGCTCCACCACCGGCTCGCTCTCTGGCTCGGCTGCCGGCTCCACTGCAGGCTCACTCTCTGGCTCCGCCACGGGCTCTGCCACCGGCTCGCTCTCCGGCCCGGTGCCGGGCAGGGCACCGACCACGGCGGGCGGTACTTCGACTGCGATGGCAGGCGGGGAGGCGGCGATCGAGCACGATACTACCAACATGGACCATTGGGCTCTCGAAACCCATCCTACCTGCAGGGGCCGAGTCCTCCAGCGCGGGCACCTCCGCGAGCGGACCCAGGGCTTCCTGCACAGTGATGGGAACTATGTCTGGGATCTGCGCGGCCGCCATCCCCGCCAGGCAGGCGGCCAGGATGACCACGATGAAGCTGTTGGCCCTCATTCCAGCTCTTGATGTCGTCCCTGCCAAAGGTCTGTAAGGATTCGAGCCCCCCTCACGCCAGCGCCGCGCGTGCAGGTTGCTGCGTCGATCTCGGTCCAGACCCGCTGTTCTCGAACCCCTGGCCTCCTTGGAGCGCGTAATGGGGCGCTGGAGCCGCTGGGATGGGTTTGGGTCTTTCGAACACGCTCGAACCGTGTTCATGGGAGGGGCCGAGTGGTGCCCAGGAAGCTGACTCCAGCCGGGTGGCGCGCGCGGGCGTACGAGCAGCAGTGGTATGGGGGAGGGGGGAAGTTCTGCCCTGTGCCTGTATTCCTGGCCCTCACCCCGCGCCCCGGCAGGTACACGGCAATCTTTCACAACAAACATCTCCATTCACACATGGCAGGGAGGAGAGGGGTATATTCAAAACGTCCTCGGTCGCGAGGAGTGCGCGGAGGGCTGTGTGTGAAGGGAGGGGCGGGGGGGAGAGGCAGGGGGCGGCACGCCCGGGCCGCCTGGGTCCAGCCGCCCACACGCTGCACCCCGGGTCACTCCGCGCTGGGCGCAGGCACGGGGGCAGGGGGCGTGAACTGCAGGCCCAGGTCGGTGGAGACCAGGGCGGGGAGGACCACCTGCAGCACCTGGCCGTTGGAGCCCAGGATGTCCAGTGTGAAGGGCCCGGCGGGGTCGATGGTGCTCACCGGGTTCCAGCTCCAGTAGTTGTCGGTGCCGTGCACCAGCCGGTCCCCGTTCAGCTGCGCCGCGGTGATGGTGTAGATGGAGTTGGCGAAGGAGAAGGCCTGGTAGTAGGCGCTGCCCCCCTGCTTCACCAGCATCTTGATGGTGCCGTTGCTGTAGGGCGCGCAGTCCACAAACTCCCAGGAGATAAGGGCGGAGGGGTTGGGGCTGGGCTGGCGCCCCGTCAGCGCCACGAACAGCGGCTGCGCGATGGTCAGGTCCGCATCATAGCAGTTGCCGCAGTAGTCCAGCACCTGCGCCACCCGCGTGCGCCCCGGCTGCTCGCACCGCGCGTCGTCGCACTCCAGCCGGATGCAGAGGCCGCAGGAGTAGCCCTGGTTGAAGAAGGAGGGGCCCATGGCCACGTAGTCGGAAGTGAAGTTGTCGCCGACGTACCCCAGCGCGCAGCCCAGGTTGGTGGCGCCGTAGGTGGTCAGGGGGGTGGAGGTGTACCCCGTCGTCGCCACGCCCTTGTACGTCAGGCGCTGCTCCGCGGGCTGCGCGCCGGGGGCGGCCGCATACTCGGCGGCCAGGGCCAGGCCATCAACCGCTGCGGGGGCGGCGGCGGTGGGGCTGGCGGCGGGGGACTGTGTGGGGTAGATGTGGGGGGTTGGGGGGGGATGTGAATACAGATCTCCGGTGGGGATGGAGGCATACGGGTCTGGCAGGGAAGGGGGCCCTGGAGTGAGAAGCACTGGGCCCTGAGGGGGCCCGGGACATGGCATGCTGCACCCCCACCCATGTGAATGCACAGCGTGCTTGGAGGGGACGCACATGCCCGTATGTGGGCAAGTATGCAAGTCACCATGATCCCGCAATCTATGCCGAAGCTGAGAGCTGATCTCCCAAAATGTGTCGCCCGAACACCCCCTCCCCTCCTTGGACACCCTCGGACAGGCAGCCGCCCCATGAGCATCTGTACCTTGGGCGAGAAGGCTGCGGCGCCGTTCGTGCCGGTGCTCACGGTGGAGCTGCTGGCGAAAGGATCGATCGGGGGGGACGCCGCTGCGTGCCCGTGCAGCGCCAGGCCTGCCAGGCACAGGAGGAGGGCGAGGGTGCGCGCCATGACCTCTGCGGGCCGGGGGTGCTGCGGGGGTGGTTGGGGCGGGGGGGGTGGGCCCGGGAGTCGACAAGGTATGCTCGCAATCTGGGACTGTGGTATATAGGTTCGCCATGCTTTCACATGCCGCTTCATGCCGGTGTGGGGTATGACCCGCCTGTTCACCGTCCCAGCCTTACATGATACTCGGAATCTGGGCGAGGGGCACACGCACCGAGCTGCCGCGGGATCGGGTTTGATGTGGTGCTGCAAAAAAATGTAATGGAATTAATGGAGCAGGGGTTTAAGAATGGGTCAGGGATCTTGGTGGAGACGAGCGGTTGTTATGCTGCGTTGGGGTGGTTGAACGCGGGCGCGGAGCCGACGACAGCAGGAACCGAGTGAGTTGGAAGGGCCGAGGTTTCCTCCTTTCCAGGGGAAGTGGCCCCGGCGAGGCGCTAGACTTGGATTGGGCGTCATAGATGCCTCGTATCGAGGACCTGAGACATGCCCAAGTCCCTATAAATTACGAAATATTCTGTGGCGGGTCTTCAGGCACCCGCGTTCTGTTTCGTCACCTGGGCCTGTCCAGACTGACTGCATCCACGCGCCCGGTTCCCAACGCGGAAGGCGGCAGACACGGGTTGCAATCATCGCCAATACAGGCAGGAGCCGGACCAGCCCCCCCCTCTCCTCAAGTTTGCTTTGAAATCCAGCGCCCCTCCCCTCTCATCGGGCGGGTTTGAAAAAGTGGTGAGTCAGGCTGGGACCTGACGACCCGAGCCCTACGTCGCAGACGCGTCTGCCACGGCCACCCACCCCACCCGCTCCGAAACCCTATTTCCCACCCCCCCTCAGGCCGAGATGTCAGCCCCACAAACCCTTTCCTGCATCGCCCTGCTGGCCCTGGCCTGCTTGGCCCCGGCCGCAGCCGCCGGGTCGGTGCCCCGGGCGCTGCGGAGCAGCGGCCTGGCCCCGGCCCGCGCCCCGGACGCCGCCGCCGCGCCCACGCCCGAGTCCCTGGCCCGGGACCTGGCCGCCGCCTCCGTGTCCCAGGCCGAGCCGGCGCTGGCCCCGGGCCCCTTCGCCAGCCTGCCCAGCCCGGCGGCGGGCCCCCCCGCCGCGGCGCCGCCCCCCCCCAGCCCCACCTGGGTCACTTCCTACACCAACCTGACCAGCTTCCTGAACCCGGGCACCGCCTACGCCCCGCCCCTGAGCGCTGCGCAGCGGGCGGCGGCGGCCGGCCTCAAGGACTGGCGCCAGGGCACCGGCACCGTGTCCGCGGCCCGCGACTTCCAGGAGACGGGCGTGCAGACGCTGAACTGCGGCATCGGGTACCTGAACCCCCACTTCACCTACTACTACGCGGGCGTGTCCGCCACCTACTACGCGGCGGGGCAGTACTGCGGCATGTGCCTCAACGTCACCTGCGTGGACACCGTCTGCCCGCATGCCATGCTGGACTATGCCCTCTTCATGCTCGTCGACTCCTGCGCCTCCTGCGAGGGCGACGACATCACCATCTCCGCGCCGGGGCTGGGCAACATCACCGACGTGGACTACAACATCAACCCCGTCATGAAGCTGGCCTGGCAGCCCGTGGCCTGCAACTCCCTCATCACGGGTGGGGCCTGTTTGGAGTTTGTTGCGAGGGAATGGGGAGGGAAGCGAGGCTTTGCGGCCCGCGGCCCGCTTCCCACCCACCGCTGGCTGGCTGGCGCACCCGGGGTCATGCATGCAACTGCACCCAGCACACCTGGTTGAGGGGGGGGGAGGGGACCTCATGCCCATACGCTTTCTCCCCTCCCAACCCACCCCACCCCCCCAATACCCCCCCCCTTTGCCAGGTGGCATCCGGCTCTGGCCCAGCACGCAGAACAACCAATACTTCATCGGCATCAACTTTTCCAACCTGAAGGAGCTGCTGACCTCCGTCACCCTCTCCGGCATCGCCATGGCCTACCAGAGCTACGGTGGGTGCCGGGCCGGATGGACGTGGGGCGGGCGGGCCAAACCGTGTCCTACTGCGCACCTGCGCTCCTGCCCCGCCTCCCGTTCCCCCGCTCCCCACCAAACTCTCCACTTCCCACCCCTCTGCCCCAGGCTATTGGACCATCAACACGCCCGGCACCCCCATACCGATCTCGGCACCCTACACCCTGCAGCTCACCGCACAGACCGGCGAGACGCTGAGCCTCAACATCCCCAGCATCATCCCCCTGGACCTGGGCGTGAACTTCTCCTGAGGGCGTTACACACCTTTTGCCGTCACCTTGGACCCACCCCTCGTGAAACGAACCATTGCCTCCCCATCCCACCCTGTGCTGGGGTCCAGGGCCAGCTGAGAAGCTGTGCGACCATGCCCCCACCTCCCTCCTTGCTTCCCCTTCCGCGCGGCTCAAGGGTCCGAAGAGGAGTCTGGCGGGCCGGGGTGCGCCTTGCAGCTGTCATGCTGCCCCACCCTGGCTTGCGATCCCCACTCCTATGCTCTCAATTCATTGCACTGCAGGTGTGCCTGACCACACCATGAGCCTAATGGCAAGTGTAGCAACGCTTATCTAGATACTGAGCTGAGAAAGGGGTCGGCGGGTACGTGCACCGCACGTGCATCTGGCACGGACCACCGAAACCCTGCCGGGGTGGATGTCGGTGTTTCGAGTGCTCCCCCACGTCAACAGCCCTAAATATTGAAATCTCACGTTCTGAATGGCATCCTGGGCTATCCTGTCGTGTACTTTGTATCAGGAGCACGGTCGGTTGGGTTCCCGACACCCACAGTCGCGGCGCTGGTGCCGGGCCTCCTCAGCATGTCTCTGTTCGACGAGGGCAGGGATCTGCTGAGCAAGGTGCACTCTGCGGACTCTGGCAGAATACAGACCAATCGGTTCCTGGACGTTTGTCGACTCGTGCTGCAGGCTGTAGGCGAGTCGATGGTCCAGGGAGAGGGGGGGAACTGGAAAGATGGGGGCCATTCCATTGACTTTCCCTGCTGAGGCACCCTCGGACACCTGAAAGCCTGATGGGTTTCTGCTCATGGCGTCGTCCTCCCACCACACTGCACAGATCACCTGGGCACAGGGTTTATGCTGGTGAAGAGCGATGTCGGGGGAAACATCGACAGACTGGCCAGGAGCGCCGCGACCAACCCAGAGCGCTACGACGCCGACATATTAGTCATCGTGGAGGATGAGGTCCAGGCCGGCGGGGCAGCCTCCTCCTCCTCCTCCACCAAGGGCCTGCTCTGGCTGAAAAGGTGGGTGCGGGAAAGGGATTGTCATACCGCCCTCGGCAGAGCGCTCAGCCCCCTTCTGGCGCCGGGGATGGTTGAACCTTCCTGAGCATGGCCTTGTGGCATCACCTTGGGATGCATGCCCATAAAGTCGAATCCTGCGTCTCAGCTTCGCCCCGTGCTGGTCGTCAGGGCCATGCAGTTTGTGACGGCGCTCCTGAACCGTCTGACGGAGGATGAGGAGGAGAGCCTGTCGGCAGCCGCCAGTGAAACCTATTATGCGACCCTGCAGCAATACCATGGCTGGATTGTGACGGGCACCTTCACTGTTGCCCTGAAACTGGTGCCTGCCAGGTGAGCCCGGCGGCGGCCATTGCATGCAGGGTGAAGGCAAGGGCCTCCTTACGAGGCTGCGTACTCCGGCAGATTCCTCACCAAGTCGTCCTCACCACCCATCCTCCCGCTACATACGCTCCTTAGGCAAAGTTTCCTCGACAGCATCGGTGCGGCGAGTCCGGAGGGACTGGCCCGCATGCACACGTTCTGTCAGGAGTTTTCGGTTCTACTGCTGGAGGTGCACCAGTTTCTATCAGAAAACGGACTCGATGACCCTGCAAAAGTCTGAGCCAAGTAGGGCTATGCGTGTAGATGGACACTGTCAGAGGGTTCTGTCAACACAGGGTCAGGGTCACCTCGAGGCAGTGAGACCGGAGCTGAGGGGAAGATCCTGCAGAACACCCGCTCCCACGATGGGCGCCAGCCTGCGGCACGCCTCACAACAACTCAGTCCTCAAACAATAGCGTTCCATCTTAAACTCCTACGTGGATGTGGTGACAGTACGGTTTTGACCTTGGGCTTCGAAGAGCCATGGCCCACGAGGGGCCTGAATTTCTGCCAAGACTGACCGCCGCGTTTGTGGAGCTGGGGACCCGAGATGTCCTCGAAACTCGGGAGTTTGCAGACGCCTGTGTCACGGTGCTCCCCATCTTCAACTACCTGGGTGAGAAGGCGGGGCCCCAGTGGGTGGGAAGGCAGGCTTCTTCAACCCTCGCATCGCCTCCTAACGACATTTGGCGGGGTCCTCCCACCCCACCCGCGCAGGCAGCGTCTTCCTGATTGCAAGGAACGAGTTCTCCTCCAAGGTGAGTCGGAGAGGTACCGACTGTTCGGCCAAGGAGTGTCGTCAGGTACCCACTGCTTTTCAAGGGCGGTCTCCCCTTGCTGCGCCTTAATGCTCCTCGTTTCCTGGGCATCCTCCTACAGAGGGACAGCATTGCTGCCGTCGCTCACCGCCTTCCCATGCTGTATGATATCGTCGAGGAAGGAAAAGCGGTGCGTGGGGTTTGGCTGGCATCCCCTGTCCTGTGCAGAATGGGGTCTGCTGTGCTGCCTGTTCGGGCGCCCCATCGCGTACCTGAGCATCACCCCAGCACCCACCTCGCACATGACCACCTGCAGAACAACACGGTGACCGTGAAGAACAGTCCCGGGCGGAACTTGCACCGACTCATGAACTCCATCCTCTTCATCAGCCTCATCTTCCAGAACCTGGCAAACGGCCAGGCCATGAAGGAGGCTGTGGCAGGTGGGGGCGATCGCGGCGAGGTGCCAGCGGATGCCCTGCACCTTCCTGCGGCGGGGAAACACAGGGAATCGTGGGTGCTATCCTTTGCGGTCCGCTGAGACGTCAGGCCATGTGCCAGTGGCGGCCGCTGCCGTGTTTCACGGCGCCTCCTCCCTGCGTTGTTCGGCCCGGCCGCTGCCCCCTCGATCACATGTCAACCCCCTCTCCCCACCACCCCCACCCCAGAGTCTTACGAACGCTCGCTGGCGCCCATGCACACGTGGGTGGTGCGCGCCGGGATCAAGACCGGGATGATGGCGCTGCCGACGAGGGAGGACTTCCTGCGGGCCCTGGGCGAGACGGAGTCCAGCGCGCTGACCCATATGCAAGCCTTTGTGAAGGCCACGGAGCGCGTGGTGCAGGAGATCGCGCGTCTGTACCAGGGAGTGACGATGCCCAGGTCCGACTTCACTTTCTCTTGGTGGCAGTGAGCCGCCGCCGGTGGTGGCGCCGCGGCACCGGGCGGGTACCAATGATGCGGGGAGGCCAGGGGGGGGGGGGCCCGGCGGCGAGGCCCAGCATCGCCAGACCCCAAGCACCACCCCACCCCTTCTCAACGTGTCTCAGGAGCTAGAGGGGAGTGGGTGGGGTGGGAATTGCGCTCTGCTTCGGCCGCAGACCCGCCAGATCTCCTCGCCCCTTCCACACCGATACAAGCTTCTGCCAATTCATGCGGCGGTGTTGAGCCCTGCATGAACATAGCTGCCCCTGGTCAGTACATTGACACCCTTTTCCCAAACGAGTCGGCCACCTCTGTAACGTGAACTCTCCTGAATGTGGCTCCTCGATCTGGACGGACCACGCACTGTGCTGGGCATGATTTGCTGCGTCGGCCAGTACCGGACCGTCTGCATCCCCGACAATGCATGCAGCGTCGTCCAGGACGACAGCCACGCCCTCAGCACCTCAAATACATGCCTTGAAGATATTGATTGAGCCTGGGTTGAAGTGGAACCCCACTACCGCACCGCAGACTCCTGCCTGAATACTGGCGAGGCCCGGCTGTCCGTGCTTCCCTATCCCGCACCGCACCCCCGCCATGGAGCGGCAGCACCTGGTGGCTGCCTTGGCGGGGTGCATGAATCCCGACCACACTGTCCGACAGGCCGCGGAGCATGCATTGCAATCGGTGCGTGGGCCCTGGGTGCGGTGGGAGAGCACCGTGACTACTCCACGGTGCTGAGCCCTGTGAGCGGGTGCAGCCCACGCAGCGATGCGAGCGTGCCTCCCCCACGTACACTGCGGCCCCCTGCCATCACTGGATCCCGGTCTCGGCTGTCAGCCTGGCAAGGGGACTGGGAAACCGCATGGTCTTCTGCCCCCCCCAACCACCCCCTCCCTGCCCGTGGACGATACGCCAGCCCGATGTCTCTCCGCTCCAACCCATCACCCCAGGCCCGTGCCGCGCCGGGGCAGCTCCTGGGCCTGCTGCACGTCTCCCTGGACCCCGGCATGGACCCCGCCGTCCGCCAGGTGGCGGCCATCGCCTTTAAGAACAGCGTGAAGGAGGGGTGGGGCGGCGAGGACGAGGAGCGCCCCGCCCTGGTCGGCCCAGAGGAGAAGGGCGCTGTGCGCGACGCGATGTTTGCCGGCCTGGTGGCCGCCCCAGGTGCGGTGAAGAGGCAGCTGCGGGAGAGCGCCAGGACCATGGTCTACGCCGACTACCCCGCCGCCTGGCCAGGCCTACTCAACTCCATCGGCGAGGGCCTGGTGTCCCAGGCAAGGCCCTCAGGCTGGAGGCATGTGCACCGGGGGAGGGGGGGCGGTGGGGCCATGGGAACGGCAGCATGGGGCGGCAGGAGGCTTGCGGGGCCGACGGGTCGCACTGTGGCATGGCCTCGCGCTCCCCTGGCCCGCTGCATCCTGCGACAGCTCGCCCAGCCGACGTCA